GCGTCCGCGGGGGGGGGGGGGGCTGATCCTGGGGCTCCCCCCTCCGAGGCTCAGGCCGCTCAGAGGTCAAGCCAGCGGAGCAGCATCATTGACCCCAGCGCCGAGCGTCACAAAGAGACACACCCAGGTCGCAGCAGAGGGCCCCTCTGTGGTCTCTGCTACTTCCAGGGGGAGCGGATCCTGGCAGAGGTCACAAGGGGGCTATGGGGCAGGGGGAACAAACTCACACAGGACAGGAGCCCGGGGCTGCCAGCTCTCCGCCCTTTGCCCTAGATCAGCAGCTGGCTTCAAATCTCAGCCTGCGCTGTTATAGCAGAACCCAGTGCGGCCCTTCGGCAAACCCCACAGCGGCCGCCTTCTGCTTCCCGTGCACAGGACATCAGCGCTGCGTGAGCTCCGCCACATCCTGAGCGCAAGGCATGGTCCCAAAGGCTGGCTCAGAGGCTGCCTGTGGCCAGGGAGTCCTCAAACCACGATGGGTTTGTTGCAGAGGACCGGCCAGTCCCTCCTCTGCCTGGAAAAGGCAGACAAGACACAGCCCGTTGGCTGGATTCTCAGGCCCTGCACCAATTCCTTGCCTGGTCCTGTACGCCCTTCGCCTGGCTGTGGCAGCTTGCCCAGCCCCGGTGGGCATGAAGAGTGGGACCAGACTGGGGCTTCAGCCGCACAACACCCTGGCTGGCCACCCTGGGCACCAGCCAGCACTAGGTCTGTCATGGTAGCAAGTCAGGGGCAGGGCTGTCTTAGGGGGTTGATGTCTCACGGGCCTGCAAACCGGTAGCTCCGTCTAGCTCCACCCAGAGAGACCCGCACTGGGCAGCCTGCTCTTACCTGCCCCCTCAGGACGGCTGAGGGTGCCCACGCAGCAGCACTGGCCAGCTTGCGCCTCCAACGCGCACAGCCAGGCTCCTAGCCAGGCACCGGGAGATGGGGATAGGAAATCCCGTTTAATACGACAGAGGGCGGGCAGGCTGGAACACCCCCCTGCTCACAACCGCGGCTGCTGCGGCCCCCATTGGTTAACTGTCACCAGTAAGCGTCACCCGTTAAGGACGAGGCTTCCTGATTAACTGGTTAACCACTGACATCCCGACTGGGGCACGTCGGGGCTGCTGTCCCCTCCTGCCCAAGCTGCCGGAGTGAACGGCAGAGAGCGTGTGGGGGGTTAAGCACACGGCACCGGGGACATAGGACGGTCTCCCTCCGAGAGCTGCAAGAGCCCTTGTAGAAGCTGCTTGACCCTGCGCGCTGCGGTACAGCCCAGTTCACCAGCTAGCTGGGGCCGCGGCCTGCACGGCCCACAGGGACTCAGCCGTGTGACTGACTCAGTAACAGTCTGTGCCACTGACCCCGCGAGTCGTCTCCCCACTGGCGTCCTGAGGGGCTGAGGCTTTCCTGCCTGCAAACAGGGCTGGCTCCGGCTCCAGCTCCAGGGGGCAATTGGTTTCCTGTGCCTCCTTGCAACAGGACCGCAAAACGAGCAAGCCACAGCCACTCTCCACCTGGCCCGCCAACCCCCCCGAGCACACTCACTGTGGTCTCCGGGGCCCCCTCCCGAGAAACAAGACTAGTGTGCGCACTGCCGTGCAAGGCTTTGCAGAGAGGAGTAACCCGGGCCACAGCAAGGAGGGGTTAGCAAAGCTTCCTGTGACAAGACGGGAACCTGCTTCGTGCCTCTTACCGTCTCTGGGCCTGGCGCTGAAAGGGCACTAGCAATCGTGTAAGAAGGGCGTTCCCGGGATTTTCACCATCACCGTGCATAGGACTCTCCCTTCAGTCACACCTG